ACAAAAAAAAAAAAAAAAAAAAAAAAAAAGGGAAAAGGAAACCATGGAAATGGCGTGCGAATTCGATGCCAGACAAGCGAAAGAGGGCAAGAGAGGGGAAGATAAAAAGATGGGCTAGAGTAAAGTCTTCCCCCAAAATGCGCGAGGATGTGTATATGGGGTACGTCGTTTTTTGGGGGGGAAGTACTTCCCAACCAGAGCTAACACATATGGAGCAAATGCGGGGATGGATTTTCTCCACGTCGGGTGACAGAGGCGTCCACCTGTATGCCTATGGGATGTGCATATAAATATGTTTCTAAATGGAACAGGAGGTCTGCTTCTGTCCTCCGTGCACACAATTGTGAAGGTGCAAAAGGAAAAAATATATATATATTTCATTTTTCTCGTATCGAGTTTAGTGTGGCTAACATGAGCTAAAGGGCGACTGCCAGGAAAACGAACAGCAGGAGGATAAACACGAAGGGTCCGTATAGCACCAAAAAGTATGTCCACCTGCACGGGTGCATGCGAAAAGGGAACAACGATGTAAATAGGGGTATGGACAGCTTAACAAATCGGTGGTCAGTGTGGGCGCCCTTTCAAACAAGTTGCACTTGATCTCCCCGCGCACTTACGAGACAAAATGGCCATGGATCACCAGATGTAGGAACACCTTGAACGGGGTCCTGTATAATAGGTGGGAGGCTCGTTGACAGATTAATCAAAATTGGGTAAAGGAACCCCCCCCCCCACCTGGGAAGAGGCACACAATGCAGACCCACGCTCAGCGCAGCGTTCCGGCCATCGATCTCGCTATGCGTGTACATTAATGAATAAATAAATATCTATTCATATATATATATGTAGTGTGCAACAAAAAACAGTGAACTCCCGCTCGGGGGGTAACGTACCAGTCGGATCTCCCCTTATACTTTATGTTATTCAGGACCATGGCGACATGGTGGTGGCAGTTATTACTGCAAAGGGAATTTATTTAAAAAAATATATTTCTCCTTTTTTTTTTTTTTTTTTTTTGTCCTTTGTAAATTGGACTGTTTTGCGATTTTCCGTGGGGGTCATGGGGATGTCTTTTTTTTTTTCTCCTTTTTTTTGTCTTACACTAATAGGTTATGCTATATTGTGGTAGGAGAAGCGGGTAATGTGGGGGGTGGGTGGATGGGCGAATGAGGGGGAACAGCGTTGGTTTACGTGGAAAGGGGGGACACCTGGTGCCCCAGTGGAAGACGCACGTAGATTTTACCTTTCTTTTGGAAAAAACGTGATCCGCTTGGTAGATGGCGTCATCGTAGAACTAGGTAAGTGGTAGGTGGTTTGCGGTCAGTGGTGGTAGGTAACTCCGTTTTGTGCAGTGGAGAAATCTGCAATAGCTCAAGGGAAGCTCCCTCCCTTACCCTACCTTGTCAGTAATGGCCAGAGGAAGTTTATCCTTGTCCAACTGCCAATACTTCATTGGGTTGCTAAATGCCATATTGTCTGGTTTGGAAAAAAAAAAAAAATAAATAAAATAAAAAGGACGAAAAGCAGAGCGTCGACATTAAGAAGTGGTAGGAAGATTGTCTCTCCAAATCGGCTCAGATTGTGCAACCAGTGACTGTGCACGAGAGAACATAAAGAGGGTGTGGGTGACGGAGGTAGACAGAGTCCATTCAGAACAAACATGCAGGGGAGAAGCAGTACCAACTGAGATAGTGTATGATCCGGAGAAGTCGTGAATTACGCCTGATGATGTGGCGATTCCTGCGAGGGATAGGAAAAAAAAAAAAAAAAAAAGAAAGAAAGAAAAGAACAAAATGGAGGAGGGCACACACAACCATGTGCATTGGGACCCCCCCACATTGTCATCGTTTCAGGGGTGAAAGAATTCACTTTGGAAACAAAATGGTTTTTCTTACCGACATGCCCCACTATGGGGATGAACGTGGACAGGCATGGTAGGTAGGAGAACACGACACAGTACGGGAACTGCAACGTGGGGGGGGAGGCGGTAAGTGGTGGTGTGGCGGGTGTAAAGTCTACGGTTACGCACTGTGCCAGCGTGTGTATTATGCACACTCTTGGCTTGGAAGCATGGACCCCTCCTCACCCGTCTCACTGTCGCGCCATCACTATGAGCATTACCTTGTTGTCTTTTATGTCAATCTCGGTATTCCTCATGAAGTCATTTGGCATGTTGTGTAGTGGGGGGGATAAAAAGGCAGCAAAAAAAAAAAAAAAGGCGACAAAAAAAAAAAAACGTGGAAGGGGGAATTACGCGGGTGGTAGTCTTAACAAGGGAGTTGGTGAGCTGGACGACTGATTCCCGGTCAGCTGCTAAGGGGGCGAACAAAGAAATGGACAAAAAAAAAAAATAAAAGCACTTGAGCGTGATTAATAAGTCGATTATGAGGAGGTTTAAAAAAAAAAAAAACAGAAAACAAGGCAGAAGAAAGAAGGAAAAACACGTTTGTATGTATGAATATGTTTATGCATGCCTTTATGTGTACTTACGTGTGTTCCTTTTTTTGAGGTCGCTTGTCAATTATTTCGTCGTGGCCAGTTTTCCCGCGCAATTGTGTACACGCATGATTTAAGGCGGCCGCCACGGAACGCCAGCAGTTCGCGCTAGTGTACGTATGAACAAGGGGCACTTGTTCGTTTCATTTTTTTTTTTTTTTTTTTTTTTTCGTCCTCCTTGTCGCCACCTACCCATCCGTGCGAATATGCTCAGAACGGAAAAACGTATTTCACCTTTTGAGAAAAAAAAAAAAGAATTTCTCTGCAGTCCAAGTGTAAGCTTATGTGTACATGCTACTGGGCAGAGAAACGACTTTTCCGTTTTTCATTTTTTTTTCATTTTTTTTTTTTTAAACTGAAAAGATGAACAGTGAGCTTGTGACAAGTAAGGCTTATGCTGCTCATTTTATTCATTTTATTTTATTTATTTTTTTTTGTGAACTTTTTCCCTTTTGTTTTCCACTTTTCCATCTTTTCCGCGCCCGCTCTTGTTAATTTTTCCTTATGAACGTACTACGCGCAGCGCGCTTCGCCTTTGGCGATAGGACGTAAACCTTTTTTTTTCGTTTTCAGCCCCCCTTGCGCAAGCATACGCGCGCTGTGCGGAAGCACATGGAAGGGCGAAACCATGTGGACAGGAGAAGCTTTGCGGAAGAGCGAAATCGCGGACAAGCGCAAATGCAAGCGTGTACACATATGTACAAATCTGCGAGCGCATATTTTGCTGTTCAACTTCACAATGTTTGTATAGCCCTGGCGAACCGTTTCAACAGTTCCGTGCCCCCACTTGGCTCATCCCATATAGATTGTCATCCCTTGGGGGCCCCTGCATTTTGTTCTAATCTTGTTCTGTAAAAAGGTGGTAGTGGTATTTTCCCCTTGCCAACTCCCCAATAATTTTTTTTTTTTTTTTTTTTTTTTTTCCTGTAAACCTTACGAAAATGCGCATGTTTGAAAGCACGCCTTTTTTTTTTTTTCATAGAACTTGCTTAAATATGTTCCCATGTTTGTTTCTTCACTGTTTGTACTTGTACCATTTAGCTACGCCTGTTTTTTAGTCTCTTTTTTTTTTTTTTTTTTTTTTAATACCCATTTGACGATACACACATTT